TATCTGTAAATGAAAACTTTTAATTTAAATTATTTTAACAATTTGTTAGATTTATGGATAATTACATTATATTTAGTGTCAATAATTTGATTCATTAATTCTTACAATGATTTCATAAAAACAAGAAAATGTGAACAAATGATCAAAATATACAAATGGCGTAACGATCAGTGGGTGTGACTACTCGTCCTGCATCGCCCTTAAGATGAGATCACGTCTCACTTCGTCGTACTTCTTCTTCACGGCTGTAGTGAGTCGTCGAGTGTCGGGCACTACATATCCGGGCGCCAACTGACGCAATAGCTCTTGAAAGCCCTTCCCTTCGACCACACATATGGGTCGACAGTCTTTGACCAACCAATTGACGATTGCGTTCGTAATATCATCCGTTGTGATCACGTTGTTGTGAGTGTCCGACACATTAGACGCCGAGTTGTATGCGTTTTGATGCGATTTGTGTGGCTTTGAGTTGAGGAGAGCGCCGTTCTGTGGGTCCTCATCGAACATATGGTCGTTATGTGACGAGTAAGTGATGGCCCGCACTATCAACGGACCCGACGGCGAGTCCAATACATCGGCCTTTCGTTTGCCGAACTTCTTGCCAGTTCTGGGCGTCCTATTAGTCGGCGCCAACTTCTGCGGCTGTGCCTCCGGATGCATAGCCTTCAGGTGTGTAAACAAATTGGTTGTGTTCCCCGAATAGGCCAGAGTTGACGCACAGATCTTACAAATGGCTTTCTTCTTGTCCTGAATCTCTCCGTCGTCGTCCGCTATGAACCCGAAGTACGACCAGACCTCTGACCGCGCGTGCGGTAGCGGCACAACCTTCAAACACATTCAAACACTTTTAAGCACTCAATTATTCACTGCATTCGCGTCCAAACCTTAACTATTTTCACGTTTTGCGTTTGACTCAGATTCTCGTCGCCAATCATATGCTGTCCATCGGTCTCATCATTACTGCCGTCTCCGGAGTCTGTCATCAAATGGGGAACAACTCCTGACAACTGGTTTGATGACAATTCGCACACGTTTTCTGTCAAACAAAACATACATTTCAATCATTGATCAAATGTTTCATTTGTTAATTGCATACACTTTGCAATCAATGCATACTTTGTAACATAATTTATAAACTGATTAAAAGTTTACAAAATAAACAGATTCTTACAGTTAATCATAAAAATCAAACATATGTTTAAAGATTTATAATTAAAACGATATATAATTTGTGACAACATTTTCACAAAATAATAATTAAATAAAAATTAATTAAAAAATAATTGAAACAAATTGTAAATTAAAAGATGCGCTCAAAAGACATGAATATATAGTTTGATTGATTGAAGTATTGGTAAATGTATTGATATATTGATAGTGTATTGAATGCAAACAATACCGGCATTTGTGTCATCGGAGTCTTCATTATCTGACAATACGATGGGAACCGAGTGTTTGTTGTCTTCCTCGGAGTCCATCATATCCTCGGAGTTGTCCTCCATTTCCATCATTTGTAACGCAAATGAGTGGCAAAACTCTTCGCCCAACAAAACAAAGCAATCAAATAGTTGTCAATATTTTCCACAAACTCTGCACTCAATTGAAAAGTTTGTCAAAACTTTTTTCGCCAATCGATTGCTGTTTTGATAATAAGTTTTTATATTAAAACTGATTATCGATTGAATACACGATTTAATCGCAAATAGTTGTCAAACAATCGATTTGTGGATTGATTTCAATGCAAACGATGTTTCTCTCCATTCAATGGCTCACAAGTTGTGACTACGATATCATACACTAAATACGTCCACTATTTCACACATTTTTGCGTCCACTAGACTTATTATCAACACATTTGCACACATTTTCACATCTAATACTACTCTTATGCCAATTATTGAGTAATGTCTCGATGTTTGCCACACTTTCAATGTCTTAAGTTTAAACAAATGTCTCATTTTCGGTGCGAAATCGATGTTTGAATTGATGGGCGAAAAGTCTCAAACCATTGAAACCAGTGTTTTATTGAAACCAATATAATGCGATTGTATTGAGAGTACAGTCGCGTTGTATTCATTGTAGACAATAAGCATCGCTTTTGAATGAATGAGTTGAACGACATTTGGAAACATAGAAATAAGCGGACAAATGACGTGCCATTGAAGTGAACGAAAGACTTGAAAGACTCGGCGTTTTGAACGCAGAGATAAAAAATTGTATACAAAATGTCAGCAATTTTTGTTGAAAAACGTTTTAAACGTTTGTCACAAATGTCTGTATAATAAGCGCTACGGAAGTGATTGCAAGGCATTGGATATGAGTTACAAAAACAAATCCCTTTGACAGACGCTTATTGTGTCGCTTGTGTTCACTCAAAACACCGATAATATTGTCATTATTATTATTATTGTTGTTATTATTATGAGTAGTGTTTGAATTGATTGGAAAATGTTTTAATCGCTTAATTGTTAATCACATCTCATATTATGCTGTGTTTTAGCGTTGATTTGGACACAAGAGTCGAGTCTAACAGCGATTACTGCCTAACGATAATATAGTGATGAATGGCTTTTGTGTTGATTTGTATTTATAATTGTATTAATGTCTCAATTGTTGTGATATTATGATTGAAAACTACAGACAAATGCGGCGATTATTAACGCAATTAAAGTAATGCCTTATTATATGACATATAATCTCATCGATTGTCTCATCCGCTCATACATTGGGTTTGTGTTTGATTTGAATGTGATTTACATTTTATTTACAAATTGCTATTTTTGTTATAATTTTCAATTCAATTGTCGCTCAATTCAAATGTAATATATGTTTACTTTTATACATGATTTCAATAATCGCTGTATTTTACTAATAGTTATCTTTAATCAACGAAAAAAGTTTTTTGTCGACAATTTTTTGACTCAAATATTAATTATTGAGTGAATTATCACTGAATTTATAATTATTTTTTGTGTCGTTTAACGAAATGATTGAATACTTATTTAGTCACTAATTATCTCAATGTTTAACAAAGTGTAGGAAATAACACACTTTTCATCAAATTATTATCAATTGATTTGTGAATTTGTTTTTGAAATCAAATCATTTCTTATCATTAAACGAGTTATGAAAGCCTTTTGAGGTTTAATTTATTTATGTTTTATTTAAATTTAATTCATATCAGAATCGCATCTATTTATATGTTTTTTATTTTGCACTTTATTTCTTGAAATTATGCTTATTTTGCATTTTATTAATCTCTAAATCAGTGTTTAATGTGTAATATTATTATAATTATAAGTTAAATGTTTTAATTTTATTTGAATTTTTAATTGTGTTTTGGTGTCAAAAGTTGTGATTTTAATAATTAAAGCATTTCTTGTAAATCACTTGATTTAATGATCGCTGCATTGAGTTTACAATTATATGAATAATGAAATTATGTTTCAATTATTATTATTATTTAACAAAATTATATATTAGTTAATGGACTCTAATGTCAATCAGTCTAACATTATATGCAATTATTTTTTAAAATTAATGTCTTGTCTCTGAAAACATTGTCTTTACGTTTGACTCCAATATTCATTTCAAACATATCTTTGACTCGCATTTGAAGACAAACTTCACTTCAAGTGACGTAACCTTTGGTTTTAGATCACAAAAGTTTCGCATATTTTTTCTGTAAGTCTTTTGTGATATTTTCGTGGATTACGTTTTAAAGCAGTTTTTCGCTTCTCTTATGTCTATAAATAAAATATTTCTTTTATTTCTTGTTTTTCTTTTAGTCAAATATGTTTTGGAGTTTTTTTGTGCTGTTTTTTGTTATTTTAATTCAATTCAAGACCAAAACCTAATTTGAATGAATGAATTGACTCATGAATGACTTATTCTCTCTCTCTCTCTCTCTCTCTCTCTC